AAGACATCCTTGAGCAAATGAGCCGCAACTAATCCTAATCCAAATAAAGCTACCACATAATCTCTCTCCCTCCCAGAATTAACACTGGTCTTAGTGGACTCATTTGTTCAAGTGAAGGGGTGGGGCCAGAAAATTCTTAAAGCTCTTTTTAGCACTTATATGTGATCCCTCTCAGCTCTTAGGTTTTTTATTTGACTTAAAAGCATCACAAGTTTTAATTTTGTTCCACCTGTGGATATCAGTTTGTTCACCATTGGTGACATATTTTTAGAAAAGAGTTTAATATTTGGAAGGGAGATCTATGCCTTTCAGAGGGTTATGTTTGTTTTTCCTGAAAAAGTGAGCATCTAACGGATGCTTCCCTATGGCTATATAGGTCAGGTCCTAGAATGATAAATGTAAACTTTTAAAGTAAATTTGATGCATACTCATGTGCATTCAACAGCCACGGTGCCAGCATGGGATGAGGATGCACCCATTTTGTTCCCTGCCTGTCCCTTGACAACACCCCAGCCTTTCTGCAGGGCCGCAGGAAAATGCACAGTGATTCTGATGGCTCTCACTTTAAATTCAGGACCACTAACTTGAACAGGACCATAGTGAGGTCCAGCATTCCTTCTACATGACTTATTCTCTGGCTTTCCTAGATGAGGATTTCACACTTCTCCTCTCTCAACCACTAAACCCCTCTCCCCCTTCACTCCTCCACTCCCACCTCCACTGATGAGAAAAAAAAAGCAACCAGAAGGAAGTGTCTAACCTCTCCCCTTACCTTGTCTACTATCGTACCCACAGCTGCACTTGGGCACTCTGATGAGCTTCAGTTATTAATATGCCCTCTTATTATGTAAGGCTGATCCTCAGCTAGTCTGATTCACATCCCCCCTTGCCTACTTACTGCTGTTTCTTTATTGGTTGCCCCTTCTCTCTCCTGCATCATGAATTATCCCTCTTCCCCCTTTACTGGCTCATTCCTATCAGCATACTCGCATGTTGAAATTGCTCCACCTTTAAAAGAAAAGAGAAATGAAGGGAAAAAAAAAACTTCCTGGGGAAACCCCACAATTCCCTATATCTACTGCCCCATTTCTGTTCCTCTTTGCAGCAGAAATCTTCAGAAGAGCTGTCCACTCCAGCTTTCCTTCCACTCTGTCCTGGAATCTCTCCATGAAGGCTTTCTACTCCGCCACTCTGTCAAAACGGCGCCGACCAAGGTCACTCGTGATCTTTCCAAAGTCTAATCCATGGATCAGGTCTCAGTGAATCAGGTCTCCCTGCCAGCGATACTTAACATGGTCACTCTTTCTTACACTCTTCCCTTGGCTTCCAAGACCCCACTCTTCCTACTTCTCTTACTTCAGTGGCAGGTTGCCCCTCATTTCTCGGATCTTAAATACTGGCGAACCCCAGGGTTGGCCCTTAGACATCTTCTCCTTCTATGCTCACCTCCTAGGTGAATCCAGTAGGTTCCATCCAGTGTCCTAAAATGTCTTCTTTACTGATGGCTTCTGAATTTGTATCTCTAGCTTGGACTTCTCCCCTAACCCACACACTCCCAATGTCCAGTGGCCTTCTTGATTTCTCCCCCCTGGAAGTCAACATGTCCAAAGCCGTGTTCCTGATTTTCAGTGTCCGAAACCTATTCCTCCTGCAACCTTCTTCATCTCCAGTTGCTCATGTCAAAAACCAAAGAGTTACTCTTGATTCCTTTCTCAGGATCGCCTGCTTGCTGTACCTTCAAAATAGATCCTAAATACCATATATTAATGCATATATATGGAATCTAGAAAAATGGTACTGATGAACCTAGTGGCAGGGCAGGAATAGAGACACTGACGTAGAGAACCGACTTGTGGACGCAGTGGGGGAAGGGGAGGCTGGGACGAATTGAGAGAGTAGCATTGACATATGTACCCTATCATGTGTAAAACAGATAGCTAGTGGGAAGCTGCTGTATAGCACAGAGAGATTAGCTCGGTGCTTTGAGACGACCTAGAGGGGTGGGATGGGGAGGGTGGGAGAGAGGCTCAAGAGTGGGGGGATATGTGTATACATATAGCTGATTCACTTTGTTGTACAGCAGAAACAAACACAATGTTGTAAAGCAATTATAAATTATAATCCAATAAAGCTGTAAAAAAATTTTAAAAAGCTCTAAAAAATACAGATCCTGAATCTCACCACTTCTCACAATCTCCCCCTCCACCAAGCCATGGCCATCTCTTGAATGGATTATTGCCATTGCTTTCTCACTGGCTTCTTTTCTTTCACCCAGAGCAGCCCGAGAGAACCTTTGAAAATGTGGAGCCAAATCATTATGTTCCCAGAGCCTTCCAGTGACTTTCTGTTTTACTGGGGGTAAAAGCTGAAGTCTTTACAGTGGCCTGCAAGACCCCAGTGATCTGGCCCCTTGCTACCTCTTCCAGGTTATCATCTTTGTCTCCCTGTCTCTCTTCCCCTTCCCCTTTCTTCCTCCTCTTGTTACACACCCCCTTCCCATTCTCCCTCTCAATCACTATTCTGGCCACACTGGCCTGCCCGCCTTTTCTTGAAGGACCTAAGCATCTCCCACTTCAGAGCCTTTGCACTTACTGCCAGGTGTTCCCAGGGGTCACTTCATTCCGTTCAAATGTCGCCTTATCAGGGAGCTCTTCTCTGAAAATCCTGTTAAATATAGCACCTTCCTACATGCATTCCTTCTAACATAATTCTTTGTACATTATTAACTCCCTGACCTCAAAAGAGGGAGTGCCGTGGGCTACTTCATTCTGTCACCACTGTATCCTTAAGACCCAGACGAGCCTGGCACCCCGTGGGTGCTGAATGAATGAATGAAGGTGGTGGTGATTCCTTGTATGATTTTATTAAGTACAAAGGTCTTGGACTACTTAATAAAACTTTAAGAATTCACACGCAACTTTTAAAAACACTACATAAAATATGATAAGTTCGTATACATGCAAACTCTAACTTACCCACGATCTCTTGTTTCAACCTGTATTTGATGATGAGGCAGTTACTTACCAATATTTAAATTATGCAGCAGACACTGTGCTAAGATTATCCAGTTTAATCCCCACAATTCAGCATGTGTTGTTATCCATTTTCCAAAAAGGAAGTGAGGTTTAATGAGTTTGAAGCCAACTGAAGACAGGAAGTGGCAGGGCTGGGGTTGGATCGTGGTGTGCCTGGCTCCAGAACCTGACTTCAGAAGGATGATGCAGCTGCTAAAATAAAAGCTTCCTGGAGATCCTTTTTAATGTTGATCATGTATATATATTTAAATAGAAAGATATTTAAGAAATAATGCTTAGATTTGGAAATCAAGTGTTTAATTTTATAATTGTTAAGCAGTAATAAATTATAAATGAGATACTTTTTTACAAATTTTGAGCTAAAAGTGAGATCTCATGGCTCTTTGCCCAGTGACCTAGAATAGCTATGTGATCTGGTTCATACAAACATATTTTAATACCCTACCTGGTGAGCTGTTGCTGTGGTTGTGACGGCTTTTGTGTGTTGAGTCTGTAGCTACGGATAACACAGAGCTGGCTTGGAGTGCTGTGGGCTACTTCTCAAGAGGGAAGTGAGACATTAATTCACAAGTTAAGATTTTACAGTTAGCTTTGCGGTAGATGATTGCTCTTCAGAAAGACAGCCTCACACTCAAGGACAGAAAGTCTACGATGGTAGGTGAAACAGAGAGGAAATTGCTAAGTACAAGGAAGAGGATATCAATGAAACAATGCCTAGTCCTCTTTTTCATTTGCTCGTTTTCTAGAAGAGATGGAGCCAAACTCTAGTCAGAGTTGGGGGTTCAAACAGCCTCACGCTCTGGTTCTTCCTTCTCTCTGCCACTTCCTACTTACCCTCCTAGTCCACTGTTTGAGGCATGAATCCCCTTCCCGAAGACCTGTGTGATTGGACAACAGTAACCGGTATTTTTGGTAACACAACAACTAGATTGATAGAACCGACATTTCACTTACAGATTCCACATGCCTGTGAAGCAAGCAGTTGCTGTTGGTTGCACATGCCCCCTGTGGAAGGAAGCAAGCCCTGGGGTAGTTGGTAACTAACTATATGAAACGAAATCTTGTACATATGTACTGAATATTGTCAGTAAGGACATAAATGTGTTTTTTCATTACTACCATGAATCTTAAAATGTGACTCCACATTCAAGATAGTCTGTTGTCTAATCCACTCTGAAAAAAAGAGCTGTAAGGTAACCTCGTCTTAGAGGTTCTGTTTGTACTATTGGGGAACAAATGTCAGACATGTGAGTGAGAACTAGTTAGAAGAACTGTCCAGCATTCCTCAATTCATTCATGACATGATAGCGTTAATTATTTTCATTGGTCTTACCTAATGTGAGTGAAACTACCAAGCTTTTGTGTTTGCTAGTACCAAAACCTTGTGCTATAGATTTTGATTTCTTGTAGATTTTATGCTTTGTGTTGGGATGGCATGATCATTCCTCTCTTTTCACTGTGAGTTTAAAAAATGCAGATTGTGTATTTCAAGGTATTACAGTGTGTGTATAATTCAGAATTTTCCCCCAAGTATCTTGACTTCATTATTTAAAAGCTGCTGACATATAATTTTTCAAAGTTTTAAAAAGTAATTAAGGCTGATTTTAGACAAGACTGTTTATGAACGGAGAAATAAGATAGGAAGTGACAATTAGCAGTGCCTTTTCAGGATTAGCCCATAAGGTGATATGAAGTATTCTTATTGTGTTCTTTAATTTTTGTGGGCTTCGTGTCACGACTTCTTCATTTTTTTTTTCCATTCCAACATCTGCTGGCTTTTAAATGGAATAATTTCTTTGGTATTTTCAGTGTTTGAGGGTCGATTTGCACATACCCAAGCAGCTGACTGGGTCAGATTTAGGATTGGGCTCTCATGCTGTGACCTTAATAACCAAAGCCTTTTTGGCCTTAAAATACGAAATGTAATTTATTTCATTGTTCTTTCCTTTTTTTTTTTTTAAACAGGCTGCAGATACTTTGGCAGTGAGGCAAAAGAGAAGAATTTATGATATCACCAATGTCTTGGAAGGAATTGACCTAATTGAAAAAAAGTCAAAAAATAGTATACAATGGAAGTAAGTTACAAACCAGTACTCTGTTCTAAAACCTTTCTTTTTCTTCTCAGTGCTCTGTAAGATCTGACCTTTCTACCATTTGCCTCTCCGAAGGCCTCTATTTCAGCCATCTACTCTAGTCACACCAGCCCCACCTGTGTCCCTGGACACACCTCTTTGGGCTTCTGTATGTGTCACTTCTATGTTGGGATGTCCCCTTGCTCACTCCACTGTTTAATTTACACTCTTAAAATTCAGATCTTACTTTCTCCCTCAAGCTACTCATTTGGTACACACTGCATACTGCTTTGTATTATTAATTCCTCTCTGCTTAAGTATTTATCTGCCCGCCTAATATAAACTCCTTGAAAACAGGAACTGTGTCTTATACACAGGATTATGTACTTTGTAAATAATGGTTAGTTGAAATGCATGTTGTCATTTGTTAACTGTTGTATGTTTGAGTGTGATAAACACTTTCTGTTCCACAAATTTGTCCCCTTTAGCCTTAATTTTTTGGTTTATCTTAGCCAAAAATCCCACCAAAATATATTAAAAGGTTATAATGTGTTTTACCAGTATCTCAGTCCATATAGTGAGACTTCCCAGTGTGACAATTTGACTTTGACATCCTCTGGTGCCTCAGTCACCAGCCTGACCTTCTAGAAGACAAAAAGCACACTAGAACATGTTGAGAATTTGTGTACTTTGGTTGTTCTTGGCAATAAATTGTCTAAGCAAACATATTCAGAGGTATATGGTGCTTAAATTTTCTAAGGATTTTAATGCTTGATTTTTAGAAGAGTGTAAAGATTTTTGTCTTGAATATATTCAGTGAGTTTTACTACTACAAAAATTAAGTGATGTTTAACTGGGTCTGATACTGGGGATATTAATTCTCATATGTTTTTAAGAGGTGTAGGTGCTGGCTGTAATACTAAAGAAGTCATAGATAGATTAAGATATCTTAAAGCCGAAATTGAAGATCTAGAACTGAAGGAAAGAGAACTTGATCAGCAGAAGTTGTGGCTACAGCAAAGCATCAAAAATGTGATGGACGACTCCATTAATAATAGATATCCTTTTAAATACGCTATACATATACATAATATCTACATATTCTTTCAGTCTGAAGATGTTACTTTATTCTAGTGTTTTTAGAGTTCAGTTTTGCAAGTGAATATAACATTTTAATTTTATAATTCTGATTTATACTAATATTTTAAAATTTTTACCTTTTTAAGTTATACAGTGCATCAGTTAGCATCATTACTGTGTTGCATTGAGAAAAACAAATTCACCTACATTCAGTCTACCCATTGATAGGACGTAACATGCTAGCTAAAGTGTGCTTAGGGGGTCTGCGAATTTGGAAGTCATTGTTAAGTGCATAGACATACTTAAATCATTGTTCTGTACTTAAATCATTCAGTGTTCTGAAGTAGTGAAAATTCAGCAGCTCTCAAAGTTTTAAAAAATTAATTTTGGTTTGAAAATGAAATATTACAGGCCTGCAATCAGTCCAGGATACATTCCGCCTAACATTAACCCAAAGACAGTATTTACTGGAGGGTGGGGTTCCAAGGCTGGAGTATCTATTGTACTGGGAGGAAACATCATTAGTGATACACTCCATGTGTTTCTTATAGTCATTGTGTTCTCTTAGATATCTGTGACTCTCTTGATTTGTGAACTTACCTGTAGTCATATGGAACATTTTAACTACATTTATCTCGTACCACCTCTTATGAACTTTTGACTAATGTATACAATTTATTTTTTGTGTTGTCTTGTCTTTGGTGAACAAGTCCATGATCTCATTTGTTATTTCCTTTCTATGATCAGAACTCCTTAACAGTTTGATAATAATGGGGGTCTTCAACTGTGCCTTGTGGAACCCCAAGATTCAAAAAGCATTGAACTAGTTGATCATGCACTTTGCTGCACTGCTTTCCAAGATTGTGGCCACTCCCAATTCCCCAAACCATGACCCAAGAAGATTCTCGATGCAGAGGCTTGTATAGTTGCTCTTCACTCCCACTGAGAGCATCCTTTTTCCCATCAATATCCTTCCCCCTGAAGCTCCTGTCTCCATGAGGAATGTGTTTTCCATCTCTCTCCCAAGAGTTCTCAATGACAGAGAAATCAAAAGTGGCTTCCTCTTAGAGCAAAGGATGGACACTTCTCTTATGGACCTTTATGTGATTGTCTTTGCCTTTTCAGACTGAAGACTTGTGTTGTTTTTCATCTGACCATATGTGACAGTCCCTTCATGCATTTGGTCATTTTATTTTGGCCTTCAGATTTATTATCTTAATTTAAATGTCTAGACCTTGATATAAATGTTGTTTCCTTAACTCTATGACAGTACATTTTCCTATGTAACTCATGAAGACATCTGTAATTGCTTTAATGGTAAGTACTGTTAGTAAATTTTTTCTTACATTCTTCCTGTAATCAACCTATTTAGTGTAACGTGATTCAAAATTCTCCATGCACTCACCCTAAGTCATTATTTTCAGGACTTGTGGACATTTTTGGGTTTCACTCTACAGTGCTATGTGTTGATAGGCTGCTTTCATTTCTGTTTCCATGACAATAACTGCTTTTCCCTGCTTTCACTTCATTGCCCACATCAGTAGGTATAAACTATGTGTGGGAGAGGCACCTAAGTCAGCGATTAAGCAACAGCCTCAAAGTCACAGAATCACAGAGTCAATGACTAAACTTGAACTAGAACACGGTTCTCATTGGCACTGTTTATGAAAATATATGTAGCAAGTGTGCTGGTCACAAATGGAACCCAAAGAAAGCATGAGGACAGAGTGAGGTTTATCCATTTTATTATCAGGAAAATTATTCCTCACCCTATTCCATCCCCAGCCTCCATGTTTTCCCCTTAAGATGACAATATATTAGTAACTAAAATGGGCAGTGGGGGCTGTATTTCCATAATATATATAATACAAGTAAAATGAAATTTTGCATACAGATTTATATTTAATTGTGCATGACCTATTAAAAGAGGACAGTCTTGTATCATGCACATACAAAAAATAATCTGCCGAACACCTTGCCAAGTGGAATCTGACTTTCATCTAAGATTACGTTGGTAATATATGTGGGCTTATTGCTCTACTTTGCCATCATATTTCCCAAGTTTTCAAAGAAAGGGGGAAGTATTTTTAATCTTCAACTCAGCAGAGACTGCTGTAGAATTTGGCTTCAAAAGTAAGTTCACTTAAGCTTAAGATTTCACTGTATCATACCTAATCTTTAGTGTCTCCAGTCATTTAAGTAGTATAAATACTTCAACTAAACAGTGTTATTTAACTAAGGCTAAAAGGTTTCAAGAATCTCAGACTTGACATGAGATTGGGTGAAAGCAGTTTGTTTATGAGAATAGAGCTAACACATTTAACATGTTCTAAGGTCTAACACATATATTGCCTCATTTAATCCTCAAAAAAAACCCTATGCAGTAAGTTATATTGCCTCCATTTTACAGAATTAAGAACCAAAGCCCAAGGTTACCTAGCTTGGGATTCAAATCCAAGCATTCTGACTCCACAGCCCACACTCTTGGCCAACCCACACTCTTGGCCACTGTATTACAGGATCAGTAGTATTTTCTAAAATGTAAAAATCTTTATTTCTTAATTTTTTTGACCAGGTGATACACTTTTGGCCATTCAAGCACCTTCTGGTACACAGCTGGAGGTACCTATTCCAGAAATGGTATGTATGTAGGATAACTTTTGTTAAAATGGATCTACTGTTCCAAGAGGGACAAATATATTTTCTTTAGCTGAACATGAGCTAATTGCAAACACTTTCAAGTTACTGCTTTTAAGGTGTCTGTTTGAAAGTACTGATATCTGAATTTAGATGTCTTCAGTACTTTGGTAAAATTATGGAAGTGACTGAATGAATCATTTAACATTTAACTTTTCTTAAAATTTGATTTTATTTGAGCTAGAAGACATCAAGGAATGAGTAATGATATAGTCAATAATCTTAAAAGATCAGTTTGACTATATCTATAACCAATATAACAATCCTGAGGAAAAAGTTCACTTTAAATATCAACAATAATATATTGCTTTAAATTAGGTCTTTTAAAAAACATTTTCTGGCTTATTGAGTCAGAGATATTTATGGACTCTATGCTAATATAAATTTCATGATTTTAGTTTTCAGATTCAAATTTCCTGAAACAAACTGATTTGAAAACTATAACAATCAAAAAAGAGGTAGAAAAAATTACTGTTATCACCTCCCTCTCTTCTCCCAGCTATTCTAGAACTTTGTATTTAGGCGTTTACATTACTGGTTTCTGAAGCCTCGGGATACAAATTACCTTTTTGAAATGGAGGGACTTTACATTTATATCTCTGTAGGAAAACTCAGTTGTCTTTGTGCTTTGCTGAATGAAAAAAAGTTTCGACCTGTGAAATAGCTGCCATTTAAGACCGCACATTCAGATGACCACATCCATGGCGGCCGATGCCAGGGGACGGGGTTCCATATATGTGGAGAATGCTTGGAGTGCTGCTGCACACTGACATGTATAATTACACACAAATAGATGGTTTCCAGAATTCTACAACTGGGAGTTGCCCAGTATTTAAGAAAAGCTTACTTTTAGGGGCAAGTGGTTTATAGCACTCAATATCCCATTCTAGGTCTCTATGTTTTGACTTAGCGGCTTAATTTTCTCGTAGTTAGTCCCTATAGCTTTGCCTGTCTTATTTTTAATGTTTCAGCTTACCTAGAAATGTTGGCCTTTATTCATTTGTTTGTGCCCACTAACTTCAAAGGGTCAGAATGGACAAAAGAAATACCAGATCAATCTAAAGAGTCATTCCGGACCTATCCACGTGCTGCTTATAAATAAAGAGTCCAGCTCCTCTAAGCCCGTGGTTTTTCCTGTTCCCCCACCTGATGACCTCACACAGCCTTCCTCTCAGCCCTCGACTCCAGTGCCTCCACAGAAATCCAACATGGCAACTCAGAACTTGCCTGAGCAACATGTCTCCGAAAGAAGCCAGAATCTTCAGCAGACTCCAGCCACAGACTTATCTTCAGGTGGGTTCAGAGCCTTTGTTTTAAAAAGTAGAGGGGAAAATATGAATGCTGTGTTGAACAAGTTGGAGAGCTTTTCTGAATTTCTCAATTGTGATGTTATTTTATTATCTAGTATAGGAGGCAAAATAGTAAACCTGATCAACAAGTATTAATTTTGTGTCTTCTGTGTGCCCAGCACTGGAATATGTATTATGAGGAAAATTTAAAAAACAGATCCTGTCTTTAATTATACTACTACTAGTTGTTTCATAGACTGTGTAAATATATATATTTGCAGTTTTCCTTAGGATTCCATTTTTGGAATTAAACCAGATTTGTTCCCCCACCCCCCTTTTACTATTTACATGTCAGCTTTTTATCTGCGATTTACTTTGTAAGGTTCTTTTATCTCTTAGTAACTCTAGTATATATAATTGAAATTTGTTCTATGTTTAATAAAAATCATACTAGGGACAACTATAGTGACTTATGTCTCCTGTTTCTCTGTATTCTCTATTGTTATACTTTTTATTTGGAAAGCTTAGTTTTATAGAGTTGATAAGTGGTCTCAACTCCAATTATTTAGGAAATCTTGCCTTCCTAAGTTGTTTGATCTGTGAAATGATAAATAGCTAAAAACTGGGCATCAGGAATAGGGGCCACATTTCTTAAATTTATAAAATTTCCTCAGCATCCAGTCCTTTCCCTTGGTTATTACATGGCTAGGTATTTACCAACTCCTTAGTGGTTGCAAATAAAGGACCCATGGTTGCTGAATGAATGATTGCCATGCGATCTAGACGTAGTATTGCAGATAATTTAAAATAACTATATTGTATATATTCCACTTTGTTTATTTTTACCTTTATCCTTTTGGGATGTGGTCTACTCTTTGAGTTCACAATAGGTAAGAGTGAGCCTAAAAAGATCTTACTGGACACAGAATATTTTTCAGCTTCTTGTTGCCCATGTCCTTCCCCTATAAGTATTTCCACACCATAGGCCACAGGGATGCACAACAGAAAGTGTCATCTTTCAAAAGCTTATAATCTAATTGGGAAGAATAAAGTAGGCAGGTTTATGGTTTAGCTCAGACACAATTAGTACATTGGCTTTCACAAAGCATTAAAGAAACTTTTGAGCATTTCATTTCCGTACATGATTTTGTATTTGGAAATAGTAAAGAAAACAATTTGGGGCCAGATTAGAGAGGGCCTTGAATATCAGACTGAGTTAGGACTTTGACCTATAAACCAATGAAGATTTGTGACCAGGGAAGTGGCACGTTTAGAACTGTATACTGGTGAACACAGAAGTAACGTCATTAGGAAAGAAGAGACTTCTGGCCCTGGGAAGAAGAGATTAGAGGCAATGAAGACAGAAGATAAGATGTTTGCAGTTATGCAACTGTGAGAGAACATTGAGGCTAAAGTGGGGTGATGACAATGGGACTGGAAAGAGAAATAAGGAAGATTTGAGAAATACTCTTTAGGCAAAATAAGTAACCTTTGATGTGTGAGATCTGAAGATAAAGTTAACAGGAGGACTGTAAAGTGATGTTGCACTTTTAAGGTTGAGTCATAGGGAGAATTATGGTAACACTGACTTTAAAAACTGAGGAGTCAGTTTTGGGAAAACAATGATGAGTTTTTGGGGCTACATCTTGAGTTCAGAAGTTTAAAAGTAATGCCAGGTACAGATTAGTTGTCATGAAAATTCTGTTTCCATAAAGTTCTAGTACTTTAATTTCGTACTTTTTTGTGTGTGTGTGTGGTACACGGGCCTCTCACTGTTGTGGCCTCTCCCATTGCGGAGCACAGGCTCCGGACGTGCAGGCTCAGCGGCCATGGCTCACGGGCCCAGCCGCTCCACTGCATGTGGGATCTTCCCGGACCGGGGCATGAACCCGTGTCTCCTGCACCGGCAGGCGGACTCTCAACCACTGCGCCACCAGGGAAGCCCTAATTTCGTACTTTTAATCAAGATGCTGATGTTAAATATAACTGTGCTTAATATATACTGTGTTTAAATATATGCTGTTTAAATGTAACTGCCTTTTTGCTGTTAAAATATATAAAGAGGAGTGTAAAAAAAGCTTTATCACATTTCTTTTTCCAGCGGGATCTATTAGTGGAGATATCATTGATGAGTTAATGTCTTCTGATGGTAAGTAGTTAAAAATTTTAATAAATATAACCTTATACATCAATAATGCTTTTCTAGAATTTATGAGTGGCACATGATTTAAAAGAAATGAAGAACCTATATTTTTTAACTGCTTAATGTACTATGATGATTCATAGTAAGTTACAGGCATCCTTCAGATTTTTTTGCCTGCATTTTGAGGAAAAAGAATTCATAAGGGGATACTCATCACTTTTACTGAATAAAGTTCTAAATTGTTGGCATACTAGCCCTTTTTACACCTGAAGAATTTGGCCAAGAAGAGTAAAACAGTGTATCTGAGTCAACAGGAAATCTGAAAACAGTTTTGTAAATACTCCTACCATGGCCAACTTCAAGCTGCCAATGTGAAGTCAGTATTACTAAGATTAGCCACATCATCGTCTAATCTGAAGTAATTCTTAAAAATCAACTAGCTATAATATGGTAGTTACTTTAACAATTACTCTCTGGGCCTCACCTTTCTAAAAGTTCTTGGATTCAGAGTCCTGGTTCCTAACAAATATGTATAGCCGAGACCTAGGAAGTAGCAGCTGTTAAATTAGCCAATGGCACAGTAACCACTTAGACATTTATCAAACACTTCTGTAAAAGCAGAGAATTTCAGCATATTTATTAATTTATGTCTAGTTCCTTTCTCTGTTTTCGAAGTGGTAGCTTATTTAGCAGATCAGAGAAAATACTTTGAGCAGTGTTTCTGAATCATAAATTTTAGTGACAAGTTCAACCAATAAAAACTAACTTATTTCTCAAGCTAACACCTATAATCAATGCATAAAATGTCTTTAAAGAAGAATCTTTCAAAATATACACAAAATATAAGTCATTAATTTGATCATTACATTTCCTATTACATATTTTTAAAAAATTGCTGTATAACAGGGGAAACATAATTTGGCTTGATGTTTTTGATAGTATTTTATGTTAGACATCATTACCTGTATGTAGAAACCATCTTTAACACTGAATTTATTTTTTGCTTGCAGTGTTTCCGCTTTTACGGCTTTCTCCGACCCCGGCAGATGACTACAACTTTAATTTAGATGATAATGAAGGAGTTTGTGATCTGTTTGATGTCCAGATACTAAATTATTAGATTCCATGGAAACCTGGGACTGTTATCTACCTCTAACTGTGTAACATTTTAGACGTCTTAACCTAAGTATTTAAAATAATGAATGTAACATCTTTTTAGTTCACTGATTCTGAAATGTTCTTCCCTAATACTTTCTTTTTTACTTCACAAAACTTCAACCATAAGAACAAAGGATTCTGATTGCTTCAGGGGAAAAAGTGATTTCATATCTACCAACTCCCTACCCTCAAGTAATTACATTCTGGAATTTCAACTTTTCCTCCCATTCTGAACTTTCTGTTTTTTTCCTTATATGAGAGGAAAGTTAAAGTAGACTTAAGGTCATCAAAAACAAAAAAGTTGGCCAAGGGCTCATCATTTGTTTGTCTTACATTTTTACTGCCACGAGACTGTCCGTATTTCTGTGTATCCTCTGATCCAGACATTCACTGCCACTTATAAAGTGAAGGGTGTAAACTAGGATATATTAACTGTTTCAGTGAACAGATTTTGTGAAGTGCCTTCTGTTTTAGCACTTTAAGTTTATCACATTTTGTTGACTTCTGACATTCCACTTTCCTAGGTTATAGGAAAGATCTGTTTATGTAGTTTGTTTTTAAAATGTGCCAATGCCTGTACATTAACAAGATTTTTAAAAATAAAATTGTATAAAACATTTAATTTATTGGTCTTTTTGGAGAATTTGATGCATCACCAGTGTATTACAACTGAGCCATTAATCTTGTAGCTTCATCAACATTAACTGGTTCGTTTTCATGACACTGCTGAGGAATCTGGAGAGAAAATTACATTTAAAAATTTAGATAACAATAGCAAACAAAAATGACATTATCTACTGACATATCTATTATTCGATATAATTTCTTCTAGTTATACTTTTGGAAATAGAACAATAAATTCCCATATTTTAGACTCAATGTTTTAAAGTCTGAATAAGCTATACATACTACAGAGCCAAATACTAAAAATTACAATCAATACAGGCTTTGAAAATTTGTAGTTTATTAGCCAGAACAAAAGGAAGTGATTTCCACTCACCAGCTGTTTCTGCAGAGGTTCAAGGGAAAGGCCTTTTACGAACTGTACAAGTACCTTTTGCATATCTACAAAAGCTTTATTCACGCTGTTAACTTTTTCATCATTCATGATGTTTATCTTTTAAAAAAAGAAAAAGAGCATTAATCCATGATCTCACAACCATTAAGGATAAAAATATAGGCAACCTTAATTTAATCTTGTTACCCCCAAACCTATAAACTCTTATCAATCCTACCAATTTATGGAGACAATTTACACTAAAATTCTTAGTCTTATTGGGACATTTTAGACAAAAGGTTCTGTTTTTTAAAAAATAAGAATTATGTGAATATACCTCATACTTTGACTTTCCTGGAATAAGCAGGCCAAAATATGTGACCACTATCTTTCTAAGCTACGGTGCTATCGTCTCTCATCTGTAAAATGAGGAACCTGGATAGCATGCTTCCAGTGTTCTTCTAACAGTACGTCTCTGAATCCTTCCTTGATAGAAGTGCCTGGCAGTCTCCTGAGGACAGCAGCCCCTGTAGCCGTCCTCACTTGAATCTGAAAGGTGGGGGTGGTATTCTTGTACTTCACAGCTGCTCCCCAACCATTTCTCCTTCAAAACTTTTGGCTTTTTTGCATCTTATGCATCAGGACATTCTGACACCCCTCTCCTCATTACTGTCACCTATCAACACCATGATTACTTGCTCCTTCATGAAAGATCTCAAACCATGGCTCACTGACCCCTCTCACGCCTGGCGTCGCTTTTTAGTGGCTACAACAAAAACCTATCCTATGGCTTCTTAATCTCTTCAGGTCCTCATCTCCAGGGGTCTTTTCCACGACCTACCTTGCCATCACTCCCATGCATTACCTTAGGCTGCATCATTACCTGTTACTGCACCACCTCCTATCCTTCTATTCACTTATTTTATTAATAATTCTTAAATCTCACTGAAATCTTTTCCCACCAAGTTCACTATTGTTCACATTTTCATATCCCCACTTTTTCCTTTAGCCTGCACAGATTCCATGACCACTAATCAGTCACTCCTTCACACCCTAACTCTACTTCTCTTCTCTCCCTCAATCAGACTTGCCTGGCAACCTAGTTAAACTCAAGTATCAGCCTTTTGGAGCCCAAAACTGAAGCTCTAAAAAATCATAGCTGGCTGACTGGCTTCACTTTAAGTTCATGGCCACCAACTTCAATTTACCACTTATATAGTACCTGGTGATTGTACGACCTGCCCCTAAGGCTGCTTTCTCAGAAAAGTGTTCGATACTTTCTCCAACCAGGCTGCCTACCCACAGATCTTTTCCATTAGCATCCATAAAGCTTCTAGGACTTCCTATCCAAACAAAATAATTTTCCTCAAATATACCAAGCCTTCACCCAGCTGGGGGTCTTTGCACTCACTATTCTTTCTGCCTAGAACATGCTGCTCCAACACTTCCCAGCAGTTTGCATCACTGGCTCCTATCAGGCAGGTCTTGGCTTCAATGTCAACCCTGAAGACAGTTCTATCTAAAACTCACCCCCAAACCCCAGTCATATCACCCAGCTTTATTTCCTTTTTAGCATTTCCAAAGTCATGAAATTGCTCCACCAAAAATTTTAACTCAGCTAATTCATGAAGACTGAAAGATAAAATGTTACGTTTCTATGGACCATTATGATAATTACTAAGTCCTCTAGAGGTGACTCCACCTACTACTTAAGCTTGAAAACATTTTCTTGAATAATCTTCTTAAGGAGTCTACTTAATCTTGAAGAAATTTCCCATTCCCCAAATATTTTGAAATAAAGATAAAGTAACTCCTTTCTTTTCAAATTTTGTATTTTAAGAAACAAAATATTTTATCTTCTATTTTTAGGTTTTTATCTGAGTTCTAGATATCTTCAGAGAAATAAGAATTACTGAGGAGAAAAAGAATGGGTGTTGACTGACATTCCATGTCTTGACTCTGTTGAAAGCTTCTTGAAGAGATAACTTTTCCATACCATGTTTTTTTATGATTTCTATGCTCTGAGAAAACTATTAAAACTGTTACTTGGAGACTCATACATTTGCAGTTAAAATGCTTTCTTCTTTTTGCACATTTGAATTCAAGAAAGGGAGGTTATTTTTCTTCATCTTTTTTTCTTTTTTAAAACAAATGTTTAAAATCATCATGCTTTTGTAGGAAAGGCTAAGAACCTATTTTAAATATTAGCATTCAGTTTTTCAGTAGCTTTACAATTATGCTTTGCTTGTAAACAATAAAGTCAGAGTGCATAAGTGATACTAACCTTCTTCAGATTAGTGGTAACTGGTTTTGCTTTATTTTTAACCTTAAAGCCTTTTTGGCTGGCTATGTGGAATACATTCCTGGACTTCTGTCCTCTTAGTTTGTTCTTGGCCATTGTCTAGGAAAGAAAGAAAAGGAGCTCAATTAAGTTGCCCATGTTCATGAACTGTAAATCAATTTCAGTTTTTGGAAGTAAAGGTACCAATTAAATCTAAGAAGTTCCACCTTCCTCCTGATTATTTTTAAAATTGCTGCTTGTATAAAAATTATCTCCATGTCCTTTTGGTCTTACTAGATTTTTCTGTTTCAGTGCAGAGTGTGTAGCTAATTCTTTTCTGCATCTCCAGCACCTGACCCATAAGAGGCTCCACATTAGTTTCTGCCAGTTAGATTAATTAATATTCTCAACACAACAATTGTTTTTTTTTTTTTTCAGCTCTCTGCAGCATCTGACAATTCTAACCATCACCATCCATCCTTCTGCTAGTTTACATACTGCTATTCCATTCCAGTTCCTTTCATACTCTAGGACTGACTCCCTTCTCCCTCCTTCTTTCATTCCTTTTTACTTGCCCCATTTTCACTCCTGTGTGCACCTGCTCAAAACCAGTACTTAATCTTACACCTCCTAACCCCCACGTTAAATTACTTTCATGACTTCCACATCACCTCTATGTGAATGGCTCTTGCCTAAAAACTGTAGGTATTATCTTTGTTTTATAGCTAAACACACTAAACCTATAAATTCTACTTGAGAAACATCTCTCAAACCTGTCTTTAACAATGCACATGAGGAACAATTTAAAAAATATTAATAGTTAAGATTTATTAAGCTTTTACTACATGTACAGCACTATGCTAACGTTTTATGTATTTTAACTAATTTACTCCTTACAACAACACTTTGTAGGAGGTACTATTTTATCCTCATTTTACAGATTAAAAAAAAATCTGATGCAAAGAGAAGCTAATCTGCCCATTGCTGCACTATTAGTAGTCAGAGAATGCCAAGATTCAAAGCCAAGCAGACTAGATCCTGAGCTCTCATTATGTGATGTGGTCTCTCAAATATAAATAAAAATGCAGTACAAAAGCATGATTTAGTACTGCCTAGTTCAGGACTGGGTTACTGCTTTAGTCCCTAGGACTATTTGGTTAGACTCTGGGTTGGGACAAACTATACCCATGGACCAAATCAGGTCAGGCACCTGTCTTTGTAAATGACGTTTTATTAGAACGCAGCTACGTCCATTCGATTATGTATGTTTTGTCTGTGGCTGCTTTCCTGCGACAACTGTGGCTCGCAAAGCCTAAAATATTTACTATTTGGCCCTTTACGGAAAGACTGTCAACCCCTGGCTTAAGCCACATGCATTCAAGTCTATCCTGCGTAGTGGTACGAAATGAACCGTCCCAATGTTAAAATCCTTCAGTGGCTCCTCCAACCCACAAGGAGCAATATTCTTTGTCCTGACATATCGCTGGAAACCTGACTCTAGCATAAATCTGTCAAAGGTATCTCCTGCTATTTCTCTATACCGACTCTAGTCTACTAATTACTCTCTGAAGACACCTTGCACATTCTTCCCTTCTTCCCTTTGCTCACATTGTATCTCTCCTCCTTCAATGTCTAGCCTCAGGAACAACAGAGACAGCAATGCTTCCGAACCCCAACAGAACTCCTTCTAAAAAATAAATAAATAAACACAGTAGAAAATACATGATTATTATAGAAGCAGAAAATACACATAAACCACCCCCAAATTAAATAATCTAAAATCCTTCCAATAAGTAACCAAAATCCAACCATTCGTCTAGTATTCATTAATCAATTACTATGTACCGAGTGTGGTACAGAACCTATATACATACATATAAAACATATACAAACACAAGAAACATAAAGATAGGTGCTGTAACTGACAGCATACGAGTGGAGTCACAAAAGGAAAACATCCAATAGAGTTGGGGACTTGAGGAAGGTTCGTGGAGAAGGTGAGAGCCTAGCTGGGGGGGTAGTGGGATAGGGATTTTCTCTAACAACCACGTGGAAACTGGTGACAACAGAACAACCCAAAGCTGGTACCCTGCCGTGGGATGAAGGCCCAGCAGGCATGGGGGTTTCAGGCCTGAGCCAGCAGGCCTGCGGCCGAGTAGGGCTGCCTAAGGCAGCAAGCGACGACGGAACGGAGCCTCCAGACGGCAGCAGCCCGCGGACAGCCAATCCTGTCTCAACCCTCGGAAACTCCACGCCAGCGCGCCGGAAAATTTTTTAATTAATCTCTCACCAGTCCTCCGATACCCTCGTGCAGGGGTTTAAGCTCCAGGTAACGCCATCTGCA